TTATGACTTACATGTGGTATATTATATTATTTTTTATAACTTATATTATATAACTACTTGAAATATAAATATATTAGTTGATAAATAATTTTATTTTTCTAATTAATATTAAAAATAATTTTATTATTGATATAAAGATAAATATTAATTATTATTTTTTATACATACAATATGGATGTTAAATCGAAGCTCATCAAAAAAAGATTAATTTGATATATTACATATGTAAAACTGATAAAAAATACAAAAATTATTAACTTTTAAAATATATATACAATTCAATAGTTATAATAAGGAATGATATTAAAATGCAATTAATACATGTAACATGACCATAAATAATCAACATATTTATGGTAATCCGAACCTAATTATTTTTGGTTTGGAATTAAATTAAAATTTACCCAAGCCTAATAACGAAGCATGTAATTTTGCCACATAGAATTCCGAAGCACAAAAAACAACCACGTAGGCTCAGCGCGTTCTGAATTAATAGATAGGGGGATAATAATAAGAAGTGATATTAAAATGCAATTAATACATGTAACATGACCATAAATAATCAACATATTTATGGTAATCCGAATCTAATTATTTTTGGTTTGGAATTAAATTAAAATTTACCCAAGTCTAGTAACTAACATGTAATTTTGCCACATAGAATTCCGAAGCACCAGAAGCAGCCACGTAGGCTCGGCGCGTCATGTATTAATATATAGGGCTGATTATAGAATCGTTAACTATCACTCGTATGATAATCATTGGTGTTGTACTAGTTACTGGAGAAGATTTCTTAAAAATACTCCGGTTAACATTTCAAGAAAAATTAAAATCAAGATCAACGACTTCAACTGTAAATTACACAATCCACTTGTGACGGACTGTTTTAGTTGGGTTTTTTTTACCGTTATTAATACCACACACTCGTATGTAAATATGTGTTGATCCAACGGCACGATTTTCACTAGTGCGGTAGTGAAAATCAACATCTTTAAGAAGTGAAAATCCAAAACAAAACAAAAAATCATTTTTTTTTTTTTTTTTTTTT